TTTCTCCATAGTGCCTTGATGAAGGTTGCCATTTTTGGCAGCCTTAATGCATTTTATTTGTAAGTGTTAGTAATTAATTAAGCTGTAATCAGAGCAATGTGCTGTTTCATGAAATAATAACTCTTCAACTGTATGTACTCTGGGGCAAGAGGTACAGGAGTAGAATTAGTAAAGGAGTGTAGCTTTGCATTCATTTCTTTGCATGTCTTTTGCTCCTTAAAACACTTGAAAGCAGAAGTAAATGCTGTTTGAGAAAGGAATGCGGCAGAATAAGACAAGGAAAAGAGGTGAGAAAAGTTTAGATTTAATGCTTTATGCATTTAAAGTAAAAAACAGTAACACCAACAATATTATAAAAGGGCCGTGATTGTTCACACAGAAAAATAAAAAGAGAGCCCTTCATTTCAAGGCTGTTTTTCAAATTTTATCTAGGTCATTGTGCATCAGGGAGCAAGTATTAGCTCTGACACAATGCTAGGAAAGACAATGAAGTCAGCCCATAATGAATTTAGTCCTAACTGTTGCTACCAACTACTGATTATCTCACAGCTCTATGCAGACTGATTTAGCCACTCAAAATTCCCAAAGTGTATATATATATCCACAGAAAAAAGTTATGTTTTACACCAAATAGCATCCTTGTGAGAAAATAGCTAGAAATTGAATATTTGTTATTCTTCTCAGTAATAGTAATTATTACCAGTAGAGTTTGTGGTCTGTGGTTCCTGTTAATACTAATATTGGGACAGCTTATTTTCTCACTTCCACTTTTCTGCAATTCATTCTGCAGCCTGAATTTGGCTCTGTTGATCAGAAAAATTGTGTTCATACTTCTGATCCCTCCTCTACACCACTCTTTCCTCCACTAAACCCCATCTTCCTCTACTGGCTCTTTCTTTTTTCCTTCACCATCCTTCTCCCTGACATCTTTTCAATGATGTTTTCCTCTTGAAACTGCAGTTGTGTTTTAAGCTTCTACCCTCATAGAGACAAAACAAGCTCACCAGACAACTACAGGCTTGCCTTGGTTTTGTTCTATTTTCTGATTGTTACCCTTTTCAAAACTCTTGAATTCTTTTTTTTTTT